CATCCATCCATCCATCCATCCATCCATTCATTCATTCATTCATTCATCCATCATCCATTTATTTATTCATTCATTCATTTATTCATTCATCCATTCATCCATCCATTTATTCATCCATTCATTTATTCATTCATTCATCCATCCATCCTTCCATCCATCCATCCATCCATCCATTTGTTCATTCATTCAGTCATTTATTCATTCATTCATCCATCCATCCATCCATCCATCCATCCATCCAACCCTCCATCCATTCATTCATCCATTCATTTGTTTATTTATTCATACAATAATTTATTCAGTCATTAATTTTTATTGATTAATTTGTTTTTTTGTTTATTAATTCATTTATTATTTATTCATTCATTTTTTTGTTAATTAAATTAATTCATTAATTCATTAATCTTATTAGTTCATTCATTTATTATTCATTTGTGCAATTATTTATTTATTTAATTAATTAATGTTTTCATTCATGTATTAATGTATTTATTTGTTTCAATGATGATACTTGGCTGTAACGAGTCTCTCTCTCTCCCTCGCTCTCTCCCTCTCTCTCCCTCCCTCCCTCCCTCTCCCTCCCTCCCTCCCTCCCTCCCTCCCTCGCTCTCTCTCTCTCGCTCCCTCTCTCGCTCCCTCCCTCGCTCTCTCTCTCCCTCCCTCCCTCCCTCCGTCCCTTTTACTATGTTTGAGGAAAATAAAGATCAATTAAAGACTTGATGCAGTACTGTCTGTTGCCACCAGTTGGTGAGGACAATGAGGACACGTTAGAGGACAGTTTGTGGACAGGAGTGTCTCTAAAGTGATAAAGTCACCACGCTGAGGGCACAGAGAAGATCAGCTGAAAGTAAAGACTAGAACAAAAAGAGCTGCGAAAAGTTCAAATTAAAAGTTTTAAGATGGGACATGTCCTCACAGTGTGATGTCGTCATCAGGTGAGACTGCTTTAAGAAGACGTTGTCTCACTGTCTTAGGTTGGACATGTGGTCTTCCTGTCCCTGTTGTTATAGCTCTGATGAAATGAAGAGAGGACGGACAGAATCGTACCTCGTCCTGCTCAGTGAGACACAGATCAGGTTCTGAACCACTGCTGTGGTCCACATTAGGCTCGTCAGGACCAGCAGACAACGAGCTCATGGAGCCTCAGGAGACACTGAGAACTGAAGAGCTGAAGAACTGAAGAGCTCAAGAACTGAAGAACTGAAGAGCTGAAGAATGGAAGAGCTGAAGAACTGAAGAACCGAAGAGCTGAAGAACGGAAGAGCTGAAGAATTGAAGCGCTCAAGAACTGAAAAGCTGAAGAGCTGAAGAACTCAAGAGCTGAAGAACTGAAGAATTGAGGAGAAGAAGGTTCAGTTTTGGTGAGTGGCAGGTTGTCAGCAGGTTCAGGTCTGGACAAAGACCATCAGACCTAAATCCTGTCAACCAGCCCAGTCTCCAGACCTGAACCTCTTGATGACCTCTTGGATGTGATGAAGAGGAAGATGGAGGGTCACCAGGTGAGTTGTCACCCAGAGAAGGACTCTTGAGGATTAAAACTCAGAGTTTGTGAAGCAGATCCTGATCTCGACAGAACAAAACCTTCATGTTTCATTTTACGAAGTCGTGTCAGAGAAAAGAATCTGTGGATTTGTTTCAGAGTTCTGAAGTTCTGAACGGAGCAGAAGACACCTGCAGACAGGTGGACGTCCTGCAACAGGAAGTTCAGGACGTCCATGTCCTGCTGATGGGAGGGACAACAACGTTTGGACCCAAAATGTCTGAGAGACCTTTAAAGATATGGTGTTTTTCGAACTGTGGTACAGTGGTCAGGGCTGCCGCCTCTCGGTGAGGAGGTTGAAGGTTTGCTGTTTTTTTTACAATCACGTTCAAATACACCAAAGTGCAGGAAGTCATGTTTACTTTATTCAAAATGTTCAGTGATTAGAGCATCATGAAGCAAACACAGTTTAAACCTTTAATTTAAAAAGAACAAAACATCAAGTTTCAGAACTTTTAACTTCCAGCTGCAGCAAATCTACGGGTGAAACATCTCAACCGATGATCTTAAAACTGTAGTTTTTCTTTTTTCAGCTGCTCCCCCTTCAGGGGTCACCACAGAGAACTAACTCATGAAGACTTGGTGATTGTTTCACACCAGATGTCCTTCCTGACACAACCACAGACCACGGAGCACCCGGGGGAGCAGATGGGGGTTGAAGAGCCTTGCTCAAGGGCTCAGAGTGGGGCAAGTGAGGGTGGAGGCAAGTGTGGGTGCTTCACCTTTCCCATACACATTTTGATGTTGTCGGTACTGGGAGTTGCACCAGCAACCTTCTGATCACAGGCCCACCTTCTCTAACCTCTGCACCACCACTCCCCCAACTGATAACCTTTAAATAACGACCTTCAGATGTAAAACCATCGACGTCTGGAAGTCCTTGGAGCGGCGGGTCCACCTCAGAGGGTGGAGACGTGGATGTGAAGCGGTAAAATCCTGAACGGGACTTCAGAACCGGTCCAGATGTAGGGGAACACTCTGCCGGTGAGCGCGTCCGTGAAGGTGTGGAGGTGCTCGTTGGTCTCAGCGTCGAAGAACGCCACACTCTTCTTGTTCAGGTCCAGGTCCACCCGGACCCTCCGGAGCTCCTCCACGGCCAGTAGAACGGAGGTCCGAGGTGGGGAGATGGCTTGGTGTTTCCCGTCACACAGCTGGACCCTCCACAGTCCAGACCACAGGTCTCTCTTCCTCTGGGCGGACTCCTGCAGCACCCCCAGCTCCCACCGGCTCTGGTTCTCCACGCAGACCACCCAGCTGTGGGTCCCGGAGCCAAAGGCCTCCGAGCCCAGGACGGAGCAGAAACCGGTGATCCTCTCCGGGTTCTCTGGAAGCTGCCGCTTCCTGCCACACCTCACGGTGGTCAGATCCTCCGACAGGACCAGTTCTGGGCTCGCCGTGTTCGGGTCCAGGATCACAGGAGTGAAGGAGACCTGGTCCTTCATCTTGGTCCAGATGTTGAAGCCCAGGTTGCCCAGATGTTTGGCCTGATCGATCAACGCTCCCGGGACCAGCTGGGGGTCGTCCAGCGGGGGGCAGTGCTGCACCCGCTCCACGATGGTCCGGTACTTGAGCAGGACTGAGACGTCTGATGCTCTCAGTTCTTCTTCGGTGGTTTTGATGGTGTCCAAAAGAGCCACCATGGCTGCTTTCAGAGCCTCCATCTTGTGCTTCATGACCCGGCTCTTCTGCTGCTCCTCCTCCATCAGAGCAGCCAGCCGCAGCTTCTCCTCCTCCTCCAGGAAGCGGTGGAGCTTCTTGAAGCCCTCTTTGATCTGGACCCCGGTGAGGCGGGTCTGGACCTTGATGTGCTCGGCCGTTTGATGGAACTTCTCCTTGAACTGGCTGAAGAGCTTCATTTTGTCCTGCAGGGCCCTCAGGGCGTCTCGAAGCTCTGTCTTGTGCTGCAGCGCCGCCTCGTCCAGGGGCTTGAACCGGTGGTCTTTGTGTCTGTCGGAGTCCCTGCAGACCAAGCAGACCGGCTCCTCGTGCTGCAGACAGAACAGCTTCAGCTTCTCCCCGTGCACGTAGCACACGTCCGCCCGCGCGCTCGGAGCCCGCTCCGACAGGAACGTCTGGCACAGGTTCTTCAGCGCCAAGTTGCAGAGTGCGTCCTTCTTGTTGGACACGTCCTTGCAGAGGGGACACTGCCGGATGTCTTTCTCAGCCCACCAGCTCTGCAGACAGTTCTTACAGAAGCTGTGGCTGCAGGGCAGGATGACCGGGTCTCTGAAGATCTCCATGCACACGGGACAGTGGAGGTCCTCCTCGGCTCGGTGCGCCATGCTGGCTCAGAGGGACGCAGGGGAGATGTGTTGGAGACGTAAAAGACGTCCTGTGTCTCTAGCAGTGCTGAAACTCACAGACTGACAAGAACCAAACGCGTCTTTCTGGATCCTACGGCCCGATCCGAGGCGGAGCTTCATCCGTTCAGCCGGCCAAGCTTCATTCCAGACCGATGACTCGCGTCACATTCAGGGAAACTCTGAGCCTATTTACTGAAAACACTGAAGTACTCTCAACGTGCGAACGTTTAAATCTGCTAGAATCTCTTTCAGGACAGGTTTTCATGAGCGAGCAGGAATGTTGTCTGTCCACACAACAACACGCTGAATCATCACGGCCATGAAGTAACGCTGCTAACGTCACAAACTCTTTTAGTTTTGGGGACTGCCTGAAGGCAGCACCCTCTTGTTATCCACTTGACAAGGGTCTTGCTCTTATATCAACTTTAATGCAGCCCAAACCTCAATGTGTCTCAAGTGCTCTCTGTTAGTAAAATATGGAACAATAAGATCTGTAATATAAGATGGAGCTAGGTTGTTGAGAGCTTTGTAGGTTAGAAGTAAGATTTTGAATTCTATTCTGGATTTGACAGGGAGCCAGTGGAGAGAAGCTAAAACTGGAGAGAGATGATCTCTCCCAGTAACTCCAGTTAAGACTCTGGCAGCAGCATTTTGGATCAACTGAAGACGTTTTAAAGAAGTATTTGGACACCCAGATAATAAACCATTGCAATTGTCCAGTCTAGACGTGACAAATGCATGGACCAGTTTTTCTGCATCATCTTTAGATCAGATGTTTCTAATGTTAGTGATATTACGCAGGTGGAAGAAGGAGGTTCTAGTAACGTTTTTAATGTGGGGGATAAAAGACATGTCCTGATCAAAAATAACACCAAGATTTTTATCATTAGAGCTGGAGGACAGATTAATGCATCTAAGGAGGGAGAAAGACTGAAACATTCATTCCTAAGGTGCTCAGGTCCAAAAACCAAAACCTCAGTCTTGTCTGTTCAACAGGAGAAAATTAAGGGTCATCCAGGTTTTTATGTCTTTAAGACATGCTTGTAGTCTAAGTAGCTGATTGGATTCATTGGGTTTAATGGACAAATATAATTGTGTGTCATCAGCATAACAATGGAAATTTATCCCATGTTGTTTAATAACTTTACCTAATGGAAGCATCTGGTACCGTCAACATCAAAATGTGGGTGGAATAGGTGGAACACTCACACCTCCCTCCATCCTCATTTGCCCCACTCTGGGCCCCGGAGCAAGGCCCTTAACCCCCACCATCTGTTCCCTAAACAGGTCTCTCTTGCAAATGAGTTCTCGTGGCTCAATGAGACTACCTGTATAAATAAAGGCTAAATGAAAAAAAAAAAGAAGAGTATTGGTCCAAGCACTGAACCTTGAGGAACTCCATGACTAACTTTGGTGTATGATGAAGATTCATTATTTACATTTACAAACTGGAATCTATCAGATAGATATGATTTAAAACATTTTAGAGCTGTTCCTGTAATCCCAACATCATATTCAAGCCTCTGTAGTAAAATATTGTGATCAACTGTATCAAATGCAGCACTGAGGTCTAACAGGACCAGTAGAGACACAAGTCCATTGTCTGAGGCCATGAGAATATCATTAGTGACTTTTACTAGTGCTGTTTCTGTGCTATGATGAGCTCTAAACCCTGACTGAAACTCTTCAAACAGATTGTTTCTTTGTAGATGTTCACACAACTGACCTGCAACTATTTTCTATAGAATTTTTTAAGATGAAAGTTAGATTAGATATAGATCTATAGTTGGCTAGACTTCCTGAGTCAAGGTTATGTTTCCTAAGTAAAGGTTTAATTACTGCAACCTTAAAGCTCTGTGGTACGTAACTGTTTATTAGAGACAAATTAAGCAGATCCAAGACGTGATTATTAATTAAGGGAAGTACGTCTTTAAACAGTCTGGTTGGGATGGGATTATTATTTTTGACAATTCAGAGCTCAACAGGACAAAAACTGTCCAAACATAAATCAGGCTCTAGTGACATTTTTAAAGTTGTCTCATCTGACACAGAACCAGAGGTGATACTAGGAATGTTGGTTTGAATTTTTTCTCTAATTGAAACAATTTTATTTATAAAGAATCTCATGAAGTCGTCACTGCTTATAGTTGTAGGGACACATGGTTCAACAGAGAGAGGATTTATCATTAGACTAGCTTTGGTACTGAAAAGGGTTGTTTTTATTCTCTTCAATTAAAGATGAACAATATAAAGTTCTAGCTTTATGGAGAGCTTTTTTGTACATTAGAAGGCTGTCTCTCCAGGATAAGTACGATTCCTCAACACAATCTGAATTCAAATCTAAAACTCCAAGATGGCCACCATAGCTTAAAATTGAAGATGACTCTAACTCATTGATTTTTTTTGCCGTGTTGATCTGAAGTTTGGTGTGATGGAAGCTGAGAGTGAACTCCAACACAGCACTGTCATATTGAAATTTAAAAAGGGCCACAATGTGGCAGTCTCCCTCAGTGTTTCTCCAGGAACTAGTTAATAAATAAAATGATTGGATTATGAAATACGGTTCACACCATATGTTGTTGGTCCCTTTTACTTTTTAACACATATTAAAGCTGAAAACGTGTTTACAAGAGGTTTTAAGTCTTAAAGAGGAGCGGATGATTATACATTTTTTGTAAACTTTGGATAAAACTCTTGTCCTGCGTTGAATATTACCCAGAATCCTCGATGTCCACACATTTGGTGTAGCTGTCGTTGGAGTACAACACCACTGTGGCCACCTGGTCCACTGAGAGGGACAAGAAGACAATGAGACATGGTGTCCACCAGCTGTGGTCCAACAGGACCCCCACACCAGCAGAACCAGCACCGAGCCGCCGGGTCCTACCTGACAGGACGATGTTCTTCACCGTCTTGTTGGAGTTGTTGGCGATGTTGACGTGAACGTGGATCGTCTCGCCGTGGTAGTACAGCTGAACACGGAAATAAGAGTTTATCAGGGATTTACTGAACGGATGCTTGTTAAGCATTCACACTGTTGTGATCCTGTTCATATTTTTATTGTTCCGTATTCTTCATTCTTCCAGTTATCTTAAACTATTACGTACATTTTTCAACGTATTTCTCATTCCACAGTTTTTGTGCTATTTCAACTAATGATAAATCAAAACGTTCGGCTCTTTCAGGACAATCCTGCTGTGACTTCTGGTGTTGGAGCAACTTTAGCTTTCTGAAATATTTAGCATTTTCTGCTCATAGATAATGAATTGAGCTCATTTTACATCCTTCAGATGTTTACAGCTGTTTACAACCTTTTACTGCTCCTTTCACATTTTGCTCTGCTTCAGCTTCTTTCAGGTTTCTGCTGCAAATTTAATCTTTTTCAGCTACTTTCAGCTCATTTCAGCAGTTTTTTTCAGCTGTTTGTGCTCCTTTCAGCTTATTTCTGCTAATTACAACATTTTTGTGCTTCTTCTAACTTCTTTCTGTTAATTTCAGCTTGTTATGCTCCTTTCAGCTTATTTTTGCTATTTCAGCTACTATAAGATAAGATAAGATAAGATAAGATAAGATAAGATAAAATAAGATAAGATAAAATAAGATAAGATAAAACATTATTGATCCTGCAGGAAATTGTTGTGCCAGAGTTTCAGTTCGAAGGAACAAACACAAGAATCACACAAGATATGAAAAACAACAAAGAATTTAAAAATGCCATAGTTCAGTTCTAAAAGAGGTGCAGACAGAAACATTAAAGTGCTTATTGTGGTGCAGGATTAATTTTATTGTCTTATGTGTAGAAAAGGGGAGGAGTTGAAAAGTTTGATAGACACATTTTGCAGTTTTTATGCTAATTTGAGCTTTTTAATCTAATTCCACATTTGTTGAACTCATTTCAACTTTTTCAGCCTAATTCAGCAAAAATGTGCTTTCTCCACTTCCTTTTGATAATTGGAGCTTCTTTCTGCTTTTAAGCTACTTTTCGGCTGTTTTTCTTTTTGTGTGCTAGTTTTAGTTTTTTCCAAATAATTTGCACTTTTTGAGCTCATTTCTGCTTCTTGCAGCGTAACTGGACGAACATGATGTTTTATCTTTTCAGCTACGTTTTAGAATGTTTTAGTTGATTTCAGATAAATTCAAGTTCACTTCTGCCACTTTCAGCATAATTAACTTCTTTCTACTAATTTCAGCTTTTTATGCTACGTTCAGCTCATTTCTACTAGTTTCAGTTATTTCAGCTACTATTTGTCTGTTTTATGCTATTTTTAGATTTTTCAGCTAATTCCACTTTAATTTAGCTCATTTCAGCTCTTTCCGCTTCCTGCTGGTAGTTTAAGCTTTTTTCTGCCTTTTCAGAAACTTTTCATCTATTTTTTGTTGCTAATTTCAGCTTTTTTTTTTTTTTTTTTAGCTAATTTCATTATTTCTGTGCTCATTTCTGCTGAGTTAAACCCAATTCAGCAAAAATATGTTCTTTCTGCTTTCTTCTGCTAATTTAGGCTTGTTCTTTTCAGCTAAAACTCAGGATGTATTTTAGCTGAATTTCAGCTGTTTTTCAGCAACTTCTTCTTGAATAAACATTCACACTGCATTTTCACAGGAAATGTATTTTCTCTAGTTATAGTTTTAGTTTTCTTTTGCAGTGAGAGACCGTTTCATCTTTAGCTGTAACTTCCTTCCACCAGCTCAGATTTTCTGGATTATTCTGACGTTTTCTCGTGAATTGTGTTGCAGCTGGATGAGTCAGTCAGATTAAATCAGCTCAACTCGTTCCGGTGCTGGCGGTGCTGATCCTCTCGGACGGGCCGCTGCTGATTTGAAAGCAGCTTTGATTGTTCCAGGATAAACACCTGACCTGTTTGTCCAGAGTGGCCTTGACGAGCAGCGGTTTGTCTGACATGACAAAGTCCTTGGTGACTTCAAGAGAAGGTGGCGGGCCCTGAGTCTCTGGAGCGTACTGGACCTTCCTGATCACCAGCTTCACTGTGCTCCTGTTGGACCAGCAGACGAGAAGTTACAGACGGGGTTAGACCTGGTTCTGTGTTGTTAGCACAGC